TCTCCCCTCAGCCTCCTCTTCTCCAGACTAAATAACCCCAGTTCCCTCAGCCATTCCTCATATGACTTGTGTTCCAGACCCCTCACCAGCTTGGTTGCTCTCCTCTGGACATGCTCCAGCAATGCAACATCTTTCTTGTAGTGAGGGGCCCAAAACTGAACACAGTATTCAAGGTGCGGCCTCACCAGCACCGAGTACAGGGGCACTATGACTTCCCTTGTCCTGCTGGTCACACTATTTCTGATACAGGCCAGGATGCCATTGGCCTTCTTGGCCACCTGGGCACACTGCTGGCTCATATTCAGCTGGCTGTCAACCAGTACCCCCAGGTCCTTTTCCGCCAGGCAGCTTTCCAGCCACTCTTGCCCAAGCCTGTAGCGCTGCATGGGGTTGTTGTGACCAAAGTGCAGGACCCGGCACTTGGCCTTGTTGAACCTCATGCAGTTGGCCTCGGCCTTCCATAGAGCAAAAACCAATCTGCTAAAAGGAAACCTTACTTTTATCTTTGAAAACCTGCTCGCCTCCCTTGGGGCAAATAGCTTTCCATGGATGGTCTTACTGAGTCATTACGTCACTCTCTGGTACCTTTTGTAGAACCTCAGCATAGCATTATTTTTCTATTCTGGTGCTCACTTAAAAAAATAATAAAAGAGGGTACAATACTGTTGAATCCTAGAGACTTTTCACCAGTCTGAAACTAATACATAGGTAATGACCTAGGTAACTTTGTCCTTTCATCACATTGTGTCCGCTGACTTTTGGAAAGAACCCAGAGGATGCTTTGCCAATAATGTACTACAGTGAATAGGTGATTGGCTAAAGTAGATCTTGTATTGTCAGTTTTCTCTGATGGCTTAGATTTTTTTAATTAGAAGTTTAAAGTGCAGCAAGAAAAGCACAAAAAGAGAAAGAAAGTACTGGCAACAGCACATGTCCATAATGTTTTCTGTAGAGGGACAGCTAGGGCTTAATGGTTTAGCTTAATAATAGCTAAACATTCATATTTAATGGAGGAATTAAATTGAAATGTGCTTTTAAAGAGTGGCTGGATGCTTTAAAGGGAGCCTTGTGTTGAAAAGAGCAGAGATGATGCATACACGTGCTGATGTTCAAGCACTCTGAGTGACCAAATGGGTGCAAGGAATCTATTTTGAAAGGTTTAAAATATTACCCCTTACTTGGAGGTCATCAGCATTCCCCAGCAGAGGCACAGTAACTGATTGTGAATACCCTCCTACTCTGTTTCAGTAACAAAGTAAAATAGCTTGAAGTCTTCACCATGATTTTATTTTATAGTCCGATGGATTAAAATGGATGTGTGGTCAGTAGTTATGCCTCACATGAGGGGCAGTAACCTCTTAATCTCTGCCTATGTTGTTCACGGCCATACATTTGATAGGGTTTGACAGTACATAGTAAGGATTCTAATATAATAGTCACACATAAAAATAAACCAATATTAAGAAATCCCCATTTAAATACAGTAATGTCTTTGCCAATAAATTCTACATTATTACCAGATGTAAAGCAACTGTAAACTTCCATTATTGTTAGGAACTGTATTTAAAAAGCCATATGGAGGTTTATGGGAATCAGCTGCTAGGAAACAAGGACATATGCTCCTAATGCTGTTCACCACCTAATTCTTCACTTGAAATCAGGATATTGCACCAAATTTATGAATTTGTTGCTCTAACCTGAGGCTCGAATTCCTACATATTGTGGAGCATAAGCATCTTTAACTTTTTTCTATAGATACCAGCTCTTGGATCCAGAGCCTTAAGTTCAAGGCCTGGACTTAGTCATTATGTTTTAATGTTGTTATGTTTTCTTACCGTTCAAGGTATGCCTAAATATCTGTAAAATCAGGGAGATCAAGGCAGAGCTTTGTTTGAATTCCTGTAACTGTCTGCTTCCTTTCTACCTAGGAGTTGACTATTACTTATAGTAAAGCACCATCGGTGTCTTTTATATATTGGGGTCCAGGTTTTCAGGAGTATGGAGACGCTCTCGGTTTCAGTGCAAGTTATGTCTAAAACCATTGAGGAGCTAGTTCAAAATCAATGATGTGTATTCAAATCACTTCATATCCAACATGCTAGGGAAGGAATCTTAAAAGGCAAGGACAAACATGCACCTTTGGAGGTTAACTTTAAGCCTGTGGCACTTGTCAAGGATTAGAGGTGACAAAGCAGCTGTTGCCTGCAACTCCTTGGACCACCAGTACTGTTCATGCATCATCTTGTCTGCATGGGTGGGTGTTCCCACTTACTTTTTTCAGGCAAGGGAGTAGGAGGAGTTTGAGGAAACAGAGAAGCATTTGTAGTATCTTTTAAAGTTTTCCACCTTTGTTGATCTGTATCACTGTGTAAATGTAAATTATTCTTTTCTTCCTCTTCTCCAGCCAGTGAAAAATCAGGCACTCAAGCTGGTATTTCCTTTTGTAGCTATGGTAGCCCTGTTCCCATATTCATCTCTGATCGAGTGGAAATTTTCAGTTTTGTTTTGTACTCTGCATTTTGGAAAAGTCAGTTTTGCAAAGGTATTCTAAGAAACATTTCTAGTTAATTGTTAAAGGAGTGTTACGGAAGCCCATCAGTGGGAGAGAGTAAGGTGAATGCACCAGGAAAAATTATAAGTGCCTTTCCCCTTTACTGATGGATGAGAGAGAAAATACTTTGCTAGGAAGAAGGAGAGACTACTGTAATAACAGAACTGCAATCCTAATTTTCATAGGTCGTAGCTTACCTGAAAATATTCTAGTGGGAGAAAGTTGCTGTGTTACAGACAGCATGTTCTAGCCATGGCTTACTGAGCCTTTTATGATATATCAACCCGCAGCCTATTTTGTGTGATCTGCTTGTCTTTTAACTGAAAAAAATCAAGTGGAAAATGCAACTGTTTAATTAAAATGGGGAAAGCTAATAACCATATGGAGTTTTAAGGCTAATAAGGGGCAGTTATATCACCTAGTCTCACAGACTTTTGAGTTTTACTCAGCTTTACACATAATATAAAGAGGTAGCGTGGGAACATGCCTTAGCCTATTTTCAGTATGAAATTGATTGAAAATGTCTTACAGAAATGCTTTGTTCAAGAGCACAAAGGAAAAATGAAAACTATTCACCCAAAATAAAATGTAGCAATGTCCTGGGTACTGGAAGTCACTTTTATCCAGGTCCATTGTTACGCTGTGGGTTTTTCATTTATATTGCTATAACATTAAAATGACTTATTGGTAGAGTAAAAGGTTTTCTGATCTATCTGACTTTTACAAATATGATGACCTAAGGCAGCAGAGAACAGAATTTGTAATTCTATAACCTTGTGGATTTGGTATGTATGAAGTACAAGAAGCTTACACGTTTTTAATGGTTGTGTCCGTAAATCATCACCCGGCATTTCAAGTCATATTTGATCTTTTTCAACAGCATCAGCGTGTGCAAGTAAATATTTGCAAACCTTTTTGAAGGTTTAAATCGTAACTGTCAACTTAAGTAGCTTGTTTACATTTCTACTCTTTGAACTGTGATGTTTTGCCAACGCCTGTAGTTCCAGGTTATGCGAGTGGTTTTCTAGTCTCAGGAGTGCTTCCAGGTAACATGTGCTGTGTTTAAGAAGATCAACACTCTTCCTAGCTTGCAATACAAAGTGATCTGTTAAAGAGCTCTTAGGCTAATCAAAAAGCAAGTCGAAGTGAGGTCTAGTCTGCAAAGAGGCTGGGCATTACTGAAATTTTATGATCCCAATATAATTGAATCTGAAGAATGCTGTGAAAGTTGTTTTTTCCTGCCTTAACATGACAGAAGGGAATTGAATATAAAGAAACTTGATAATGATGATGAACACTTTTTTAGTGCTTTTAAATTAAAAAAAAAGTTAATAATGGCAGGGAAAAATAAAAACAGTACTAAAGCCAAATGCAGTAAGTTCTCAGTGCAGTAACATGGCTCTCTAAACAGTCCTTAGAAAAAAACTGGAAGCTTATTCGGGATGAGGGGCTTGCTGTGATGGATAAAAAAAGAAGCCTCTTCCTACCTGAAGATGAGAATCTACGAGAAAAAGGAGACTGGAGCCAGTTTACCTTATGGCAACAAGGTAAAACATTTTGTATTTCTTTTCTTTCCACCATTTCACTTTCTCAGATTAATACAGTGTAATGACGAGTAGCAACACAGTTTTTTCTAGAACCATTTTTGTAATCACTGAATCAGCAGAAGAAGGGAGCTAATAAAATAGTGTCTGGGACCTGTGCAACAGTGAAGAAGAGTTCTTTATTCTAAACCATGTTGTCCCCGAGTGCTTCTAAGAATCCCTTGAGGGTAATACTCCTTTTCTGGCAAGGCTGCCAACATTTTGCATGGTAATGCGTAGTACAGATCAGCCTGAGGGAAGACAGGAACATGGGAGAAGGTGCATCCTCAATATTGTGTTGTCAGCTAGGTGAGATCTGTCATTCAGAAATGGTTTGAGCAGAAGAATGAGCTTTAATAAGCCTGCTGCCCTGTCCCTGAGCTCTGCAGTGGGAAGCCAAACTATTGGAATAACTTCAAATTCTTGTAAGGCTCTGCATATGATGGAGTATTGTAAGATGAAATATTAAAAACAAATTACATCAAAATATAATCTGGTGTTGAAATGGTATGATGTTGATGGCATTTTTCTTTTTTTTTTCTTTTCAGCCTCATTAATGCTTATACTTTAAGAATCATGTTTAAAAAATGGTAGCAAGCTTGCTCTTCACAAATAATTTAAAGGCAAAGACATTGCAGGCTGCTCTGATATTACAATGTGTTAATACTTATGTTTCATAACGTGTAAAATGGGAATAATAATATTTACCTTTAAGTGTCAGCTCTTTGACAGCTTTGCTGCTCTTCTGCAAAGCAGAAAACAAGGAGATTTTCATTCATTGCTCTTACCAATGCTCTGTCCATTATTTTTACTAGGAAGAAAAAATGAGAATGCTTGTAAAAGTGTTCCGAAAACATGTGCTTTGTTGGAAAGATTCCCGGAAGCTACTGGCTGCAGAAGAGGGCAGGTACCTGGCAAATGTCTTCATTTTTGCAAATTCCTATTGCTGGGAGCAGGTGATTTTGAGGAATGTATATAGGGGGATGCGTGACTTTGGTATATTTAATGATGTCTCAAGCACCCAGTGAAGTTAGCAGTAAAAATATGCCCAATTTTAGCCCTCAGGAAATACAAGGTGAAATATGTTAGGTGAAGCCTTTCTATGGACTTTTTAGTTGAGTCATTTTGCCTTGTGTTTCTTGGGAGCTCGTGGTAGGTCAGTAGTTATGTGCCGTGGGTCAACCAGTAAGTAATGACTTAAACCTCAGCCCTAAGTGACCTGGTCTGTCTCATAGATAACTCTGCTTTGAGCAGGAGGTTGATTAGGTCCTTTCTAACCTGAGTATTTTTTTCTGGTCTGAACCCAACTTTACAAGACTAATTCAGTGAGCCAGATTGTCACTGTGATACACTTCACCCATCTGCCCTAGCCTGGCTGTGCTAGACAGAAGGAGAATCGCCTCATGGAAACCAAACAGCAGTACTGCTGTCACATGCTTCTTTCCTAAAGGTAAAGGAAGGAAATTTTACATCCATGAGCTGTGGCCTTGGGTGCCAGTAAAGTTTGTTTCGAGTGCCTGGTCTACACTGACTACTCGACTACAAATTAACCTCTTTAAATCATGCAGTGGACTTGTATGGTATGGATTGATACACACACAGCTGAATGAACAGCCCAACACAGATATCATGTGATTCTGTAGGACAGAGATTTTCATTATTCTTTTATTTTCAAGTTACTGTATGTTATCTGTAATTACTACATGAGAATAACCATTGTGTTGCAAAATTAAGGATGCAAAAGTTGGAAAACACAGTGCTAGCACAATCCTAATTCAGAGCCCTGAAAGTAGGTGTTCAGCTTCTTCGCCAGACTATTGCTTTTGATGTGCAGAAGCGCACTGTATGGCTCCTGTTGTGGGAATGAACAAAGCTACATTTCATTGATATGTTGCAAAGGCTGTTTGTAGTAAATATAACTGTTGAGAGAGGTCATCACGTTCAGTGCGGCTAACAGCAAGAAAACTGCTTTCTGTGACATCCATAGCCCAAATGGATCTATCCCAGAGGGCAAATTCTCTTTGAGAGCTGCTATTTTGTTCATCATTTTTTGGCACCCCACATGTTATCACCAGGATGTGGTTTGCAGAAACATTATGTATTCACAGCTATAGCTGTGTTTTGAACACATAAGATGGAAAATAATCTGAAAAATGGTGCTCTAGAAGTCTTAAGTAAGTTTTAGATCCAATATTAGGGGATGCCTAGGACAATTTTGGTCTTCTATGCTAGCCGTGCCTCAGATTCTTACTGGTAAATTAAATTTGAAATATCACCTAATCTCTATTCATGTACTGAAGCACTTGGAACAGACAAAATCAGGAAGTTAGGAATCCTGTGGTAGACAGACCATTTGGATGCTTTAGGCACCTCTTGTATTGACAAAGATAAAAGAAATGTAAAATAATCAACCACCTGCTCAGTGCTGCTGAAAAACTGTGTAGAACAAGAGCAAGTAATCATATTATTAAAAATTATATCATTCCCTTAAAAAGAGCAGTAAGCTAAAGTAGCACAGGTAGTTTTAATTCCGGGCATCTCTTAACTCTTTGGAGTTTTACATTGCAACCATAGTACAACTCTTTCATAGTTCAGGACTATTTATGTATAGTACTTGGGTACAGTGCATACATATAATTTACAGACACACCTAGACTGATCTGCGTGGACAGATAACATACATGACAGGAACCAATCTGCAGTGCTGGTGTATTAGCATTAAAAAAAATGTTTCTCTGGGATATTAGTAACTATCGGCCATATTCAGTTATTTGCATTGCTTTAGGGTCTGACGGGGTGATCAAGTTAATGCATCTCCGTGTAGCAGAGGTGGTGGCTTGGAGCATCTCTGTTCACGACAGCCACTGGAGCTTATCACTTACTGTCATAAGAAACTGGTGGTGAGCTGAAACCTCAGAGGGTGGGAATGGCTAAGGCATTAAGAGACACACTGTCTTCTGCTGATTTTGTTACAGTTGGAGAGCAAGCAATATCTTAAACCTTAAGGTTACCTTAAGTTACCCTATCCCAGCCTGATGTGCAGATTTCTCAGTTGAAGATGTTTCTCACCACTGTCATGCGTTATTCACACTTCCTGTTTGTTGCATTGCTGTAGAATCACAGAAGGGTTGAGGTGGGAAGGGACCTCTGGAGATGCCATAGTCCAACACCTTGCCCAAAGCATGATGAACTTGGAGCAGCTTGCTCAGGACTGTGTCCAGTCAGGTTTTGAATGCCTCTGAGAATAGAGCCTCTATAGCACCTCTGGGCAACCCGTTCCAGTGTACAGTAAAAAACTTTTGTCTTATGTTTAAATGGAATTTCCTGTATTTCAATCTGTGTCCATTGCCTCTTTGCCTTTCACTGGATACCGTTGAGAAGAGCCTGCCTCCGTCTTCTTCACTCCTCCCATCAGGTATTTATATACATTGATAAGACCCCCCTGAGCCTTCTCTTCTCCAGGCTGAGCAGTCCCAGCTCTCTCAGCTTCCCCTTGTATGTCAGATCACCTTTACCACCTTTAGCCCTTCACTAGACTTGCTCCAGTATGTCCTTGTCTCTCTCACGTAGCACAGAATGGGACCCAGCACTCAAGATGTCTCACCAACCCTGAATGGAGGGGAAGGGTCACCTCCCTCAGCCTGCCGCCAAAGCTCTCCCTAATGCAGCCCTGGAGGCTCTTGGTCTTCTTTGCCACAAGGGCACATTGCTGGCTCATGTTCAAATTGTTATCTATGAGGACCCCACAGTCGTCTTCTGGGAAGTTGCTTTCCAGAGAGTTGTCCACCAGCTTGTATTGGCATGTGGGGTTATTCCTCCCCACTGCAGAACTTTGCACTTCTCTTTGTTGAACATCACAAGATTCCTGTTTGCTCCTTTCTCCAGTCTGCCAAGGTCCCTATGAATGGCAGCAAAAAATATGTAGTGTATTAGCCATTTCTCTCCAATTTTCTATCATTTGCAAACTTGCTGAGGGGGACGTACTCTGTCCCACCATCTGAGTCATTTGTAAAGCTATTAAACAGTGTTGGACCCAGTATTGAGCCCTGGGGTACACCTTTGATGAGTGGCCTCCAGCTAGACTTTGTGCCTCTGATCACAACTCTGAGCCTAGCTGAACAGCCAGTTTTCAATCCACCTCACTGTCAACTTAGCTAGCTTCTATTTCATCAGTTTGTCAATGAGGATGTTTATGGCAGACAATGTTGAAAGTCATACTAAAGTTGAGATAAACAATATCCACTAATCTCCCCTCATCCACCAAGCTAGACATCTCACCACAGAAAGCTGGTTAAGTACAATTTCCCCTTCATAAATCCATGCTGACTGCTCCCTGTCACCTTCTTTTCCTTCATGTGTTTGGAAATGGTTTCCAGGATTATTTGCTCCATCACCTTCCCAGGGGTCGATGTGCAGCTGACTAGCCTATAGCCTATATATGTATATTTCATCCTCTCATCCTCCTCCTTGCCCTTCTTGAAGATAGGAACAACGTTTACTTTCTACCAGTCCTCAGGGAGTTCTGCTAGCTGCCATGACCTTTCAAAGATTATTGTGCGTGGATTCACAACATCATCCAGCTCCCTCAGCACTCATGAGTGGATCCCACCAGGACCCATGGACCAGTTTGTTGAGTTTGTTTAAATGTTCCCTAACATGATTCTTCTCCACTGAGGGTAAGTCACCAGTCTTTTCCACTGGTCTCAGGTGCCTGACATTCCTGAAGGTTAGTCATACCAGTAAAGATTGAGGCAAAGAAGGCACGTAGTGCCTCAGCCTTTTCCATGTCCTTTGTCATCAGATCACCTGCCACATTTAGCAGCAGACCCACGTTTTCCCTAGACTTCCTTTTACTGCTGATGTATCTTGTTGCCCTTCACTTCCATCCCCGGATTCAACACTAGGAGACTTTCCTAACCTCATCCCTGTATGCTCAGAGAGTGTCTCTACAGTCTTCCTGGGTGACCTGACCCTGCTTCCACCTCTTGTATGCTTCCTTTTTGTGTTTCAATTTTGTCTGGGTCTCCATGCTTCCTGCACATGGGGGTGAACCATTCTTGAGCTCAGATGAGGTGATCCTTGAAAATCAACCAGCTGTCCTAGACCCCTCTTCTCTGCAGCACTGTGTCTCATGGAATTTTTTCCCAGCAGATCCTTGAATAAGCCAAAGTCTGTTCTCCTGAAGCTGTGGGCAGTAATCCTGCTTTTTGCCTTTTTCCCTCTTCTCGTGATCCTAAACTCAACCATCCCATCTCACAACCCAGATGTCATCTGAGAGGGGCCAGTCAGTCTGTCTAATGCAGGCCCTGTGTCTCCTGTGGTCCGTCCTTTTACATGATAAGAGTGCTTGGAAGTCTTTCCATAGGAAATACAGTATTTTTCTGATTGTAGATATGAGATAATTATTTCCATGTTGAAATATGAATACTGATTATTTAAACAAAATGAAAAATATGCATTTCTACACATGCATGCACCTGGATGCACACACACCCCACAAGACATGTTTTTTTAGTATTGAATGCCTTTAGGATGTGAGAAAGTGTAATTGTTGCTGAGACTCTAACAAAAGGTGACATTGCCCTTTTGGCCCATCGTCAAGGATGAGGCATAATGAAGTCCTGAACTCCTAGCAGTATGGTTGTGAAGCTGAACGTGTTGAAGGCCTGCCTCTCTCTTCTTGCAGATCAAATATTCTATCATGCACCCGGGGACTCATGTCTGGCCCCATACAGGGCCCACCAATTGTCGTCTAAGGATGCATTTGGGCTTGGTGATACCTAAGGAAGGCTGCAGAATTCGGTGTGCCCAAGAGAACAGGTATGGTTTGGGGTTTATTTTTCCACCTTCCTCAGGCTGAAAAAGGTGTGGGACTGCATATAATAAAAAAAAAGAAAAATCAAAAAAAAGGTGTGTTACTGATCAGGAGAGTAATGTGTTTCATTAAACAGTCAATTTACACCCTGACTCTTGGTACAAACATATAAATATCATTTGTCAAACAATGCCAGAAGAATCTTGGGAGACAAAGCTGTTCTTCTCTGCTATAGCATGGGAATAACAGTGAGTTTAGTCCATGAAGTCTCTCTGTGTTTGCTTTTATAATGCCAGTATAACATACTTGCCAGCAGAGTACCTCTGTCTGTTTTGATTTTTTTTTTTTTTGCTTAGAATTCTTTGCTTATTCAGCAAAAGCTGACACTAAGCTTCCCTTTTCACCACCATAACAGAATACTCCTGTATTTCTGCAGAACCCTCCTTCCTAGCTAGTATTATTTGTTATAATTCAGTTAAAAATATTCATTTGAAGTTAATTTGAAGATGAACACATCTATGACGTGTTTGGCCTAATGAGTTACACAGGTAGCAAATCTCTTTAAAGTGCATTTTAAGTAAGCATTCTTACCCCTTAGGGGAAAATTATGCTAAATTGAAGGCCAGTTTTATCTCTGTTTGGTCAGTGCAAAAACCAAAATAAAATGCAATAGTTATACATTTACAATCAGGAAATATACTCGCCTGGGAAATATAAGCAAATATGATAGGTTTTTGCATGATATTATTAAACACAGAAAAATATAGCATTAACTATACTGCTTTTTGCTTACAGATTTAATTTTCTGAGACTTATGTGAAATTCTAATGATGCTTAATATCTATTTTTATATTTTTGAAAGATTCTGTGTCTTGTCTGCAGCAGCTGAGTGCAACAAGTGTTAATTCTGAATTCTTTTCATGGTAGAAATGTACATATATATTTTATACTGAGAAATGGAATGCCCCTCCTGTCTGCATGACTGTAACATGTAGCAACGATATTTTTGAGACTATTTGAAAACAACTACAACACAAAATGTTTAGAGTTTTTGAGGGCAGAGGTGCATCCAACAGTTAATAACAAGAAATGTTGTCACTATAGACTCCTGCCAACATTTGTTCTATTTAATAATGTGTCACAGTCAGTGTTACAACCTACACTACCTACATCTAGGTAGTGACGGATGTTTGCTTCCAGCATTCCAATCCAATATCCAAAATAAGTTTAAGATAGACATTTGGATGGAGGGAGAGATAGCTAGCGGGTTTAGAGGGCTACTGTGGAGACTTTTCACTTTAGAACAGTATTGTGAATTCAGATCCATGGTGACTGAAGGGTGTTACCGTTAGGGGACTGGCTCTTTAGTGGCCTGTGTGACCCAAGTGGTGGTTTTGCTCTGCTGCCAAGAGAGGAGGTGTCCACAGCTCACCACCCTTTATTGCGGTTGGCCCCCTTCTTCGTCTTAACCCAAACAGAAGGGATAGCGGTGTGGAAAATGAGCTTGACGACCTCCTCCTTGGTAGCAACGCTCCCTCAAAGTCAGGAGTGGAGAAACGCCTGTTGCTGTTGGTACGCTGCAGACCGAGCACTCCAGTGCCCAGGCTCCTGACCACAGCTCAGTCTTCTGCATCGGACTCACTCAATTGAAATGTAAAACATTCAAGAGCTGACTACAGCCTGAGCTGGAATGTGTTAACTCTAGTTGCTTTTGGCAAGAGCTCTACATTTAGAATCAAAGGCAGGATTTTCCCTGAAAGCTTTGGAAGTGTGTCTAGTGATGGCGATGAAAGGGGTTGTGTTTTGGGGTTGTTTTTACATCCCGTCCCCCATGAAAGGGGAGCTGGGTGAATGACTGTGGAAGGGAATGATGCCAGGAGGAAATCCTACCTTGGGTGTTTTCGGTTCCTCCCCTCCTGGTGGTTCAGAGCAGTGGTAAACTACTGGTTTCAAATAGGAGAGCTGGCTCAAATACGAAGGTTAGCGTAGGTCAGGCGTTTTCTGGCCTCCTGTCCCACTGCTGTATGTGTGAGATAGAGAACAGAAACAATGAGAATTTTGTGCTTGGTTACCTCTGTGCCACCCAGTGTGGGTGTTTAGAGGGGCAATATTACTGTGCAACTCATCCTTTGATGGACAGGCAACTCAGCTCTGTCTAGTACCGTGATTTACTCCGTCACTTGCAGAAGAGTCTTTCTGCAGCTGCTAGGAGCTGGTTACACCTCATTGTTATTCAGTACAGCTGTAGTAATTTTATGTCATTGGGCCATTTTGAAGTCTCCACTCTGTAAAGTGTAGGGTACAATGCACAAAAATGGTAGGTAAATAATATCTAGTTATCAAAATTGAACATCTCTGTTGGACAAGGTGATCATGTTTTGAAATGAAGCTGCAGAATTACAGCCTTAGGCAGAAGCCAGGCCAAGATCACTCCTGTAACAGGTGACAGGAGAGCTATGCAGATGATATAGAAACTACCCCAAAGTGGCTCAGCACCAGAGCAGAATAATATGGTCCCTGTGGTCCCACTGTGAAGTGTTTCTCACACCATGAAGGCTTCTGGAAAATATTTATTTGCATGCTAATAGTGGGGTTTGTAATCCATTCAAAAGGGGCTAATAGTTCTGTCAACTTTATGACTTTTCCTTTGTTGTGCAAAACAGCCCATCCCATTATGATGCAAATGGTAGATCCTGGGTTTTAACCTCTGAAGCTACTTCATCTGGGGGCTTGGAGTTTTTATTGTCCTTAACTGAGCTGCACTTTCAGGCTATTTAGGGCAGGATTTTTCATGCTTGATTTAATTAAAAAAAAAACCAAACAAAAGCCAACAAAACAACAGCAACAAACAACAAGCCCCCAAAACCTGACACCCCCCAAACAACAAAAAAAAGCCAAAACAAAATACTGCCCCAAACAAAAACAAATCCCCCAATCCCCCCAAACCCAACAAAACCCCCTCCACACACACACCAAAAAAACACCCAAAGTCAGCTTGATTTTTTTACCACATTATAGCATTGCAAGTGGTTGAATCCCATTAACTTGAATAATACCAATGTAACTTCAGTGCAGTAGCAGAGTCTCAGGGTCTGTATGACATAAAAGATTTTTGTTATCAGATAACTGACATGGTAGCAGAAAAAAACCCACATGATCATAGCTGGAACATGCAAAAGGCTCATTATCTGGGCCTTCAAGGCTGATGCATATGTGCAAGCCAGTGTGAATTTTTTACGATGTTATGCTTTCTGGTTTGTCTACTCTTCCTTAAAATATGTTTAGATCATCATTTCAGTTTAAATGATGCAATTTCAATTTCCATTTCTCTTCAGAACATTGCAGCACAACCCCATAAATTTTGATGGTTAACTTTTGCTTTTGTTGAATTAAAAATTAAAATACCGAGGTGACTTGGAAGTCTAAATCTCATTTTCACCCTGTTTTTGAAGAAAGAAAAGTGTTTTCTCTGTGAATGAACACAGATGAATGAGCTTAGCAATGCGTTTCCATCTTTGATGGCAAGATCTTTGTTTCTTTACCATCACTGCTGTTCAAAGTTCCTAATTCCCCTTAAGGACATCCATCCTCATGGACTGCTTCAGCTCCTAAGGGATCCTGTTAAAAAAATTGATTATGTGGTCATCGTAGAGCAGCTATAAGAGGTAACGCTTCTTTGATCAATATTGCCTTGACTGGCTGTTACTCATCCTGTCTCACCTGAAGGGGTATATCAGGTCCATGCTTTTGTCCTGCTACAGTGCAAAATAAACTTGCCTTACTCATGCCGCTGCCTGACTTTAGAATAGACAAACCATGTAACACATAACCAGCTGCTGTGTCTAAATGCAGTAGGTGAGACTGAGATCTGAGGGGCAGCAATGAACGACTGGCGCAGTGACTTGTTGTGACATGTTGTGATATTATCACTAGTGGTCACTGATCAGCTGCTGATTTTTCACGGTTTTGGGACTGCATTTAACCAGGCATTAAAATTCTAGTCAAAATTATGAAGCCAGATCTCAGCAGGCTGGAGAAGTGTGCCAGCTGAAACTTCTTGAAGTTCAACAAAGCAAATGCAAAGCCCTGCGATTGATACCAGACCAACACCTTGCAACAGTGCAGACTGGGCAATGACTGGATAGAAAGCAGCTTTGAAGAAAAGGACTTAGGAGTCCTAGGGGACAAGTTGAACATGAGCTGTAATGTGCTCTTGTCTTGTTGAAGGCTACCTGTGTACTGGACTGTGTTAGTAAGTGCGTAGGAAGCAGTTTGAGGGGAGCAATTTTTTTCCCTCTCTCCTGCACTCAAGACCCTGCCTCTGGAGTACTGTGTCCAGTCTGGGGCTCTTCCATACAAAAAAAAGTCATTGATAAACTAGAGGGACTCCTGTGGGGGATAAAAAAGATGATTAGGAGACTGGAGCATGCGATACATGAAGAGAGGCTCAGAGAGCTGGCTTGGAGTCTGAAAAAAGACAACTAATGGTGACCCTAGTTACTGTCTTCAACTACTACTGGGGGACAGCACAAAAGACAGTGCCAGACTCTTTTCGGAGGTGTGCAGTTATAGAATGAGAGGTAATGGACACAAGTGATAGTGAAGGAAATTCCATCTAGATAGAAGGAAATGTGCACAATGAGGTTAGTGAAACACTGGAAGAGATGGTGGAATATCCCTGGTTGTAGACATTCAAAAATCCACTAGTCAGGAACCTGAGATAGTCCATCTAGCCTCAAAGTTGGATCTAACTTTGCAGTAAGCCTTGTTCTGAGCAGAGGCACGGACCAGATGCCCTTCCAAGGTTTCTTCCAACCTAAATTATTCTGTGATTCTATCCTTCATAAAATAGACAGGAACACCGATTCTTCTGACAATATCTCCTTTCTACATTGCTTCTTGCCATTGCTTTTAAATCTGCTAATTCTGTTAATCTTTCAAACGATGGAGGTGCTCAAAACCAAACCACTTTGAATAGATTGTATGCATCCCTTTTTGTGCCTAACAAAGGTACAGATCCTGGAAAAGTACCACCGTTAAAATTTGGCTCTTCCGTGCCGTAATGAACACTCGCTCAGGGTACTTGGGTCCGTTCAGTGATCTGCTCTGCCTAAGCAGTGCTTGGTGAGCAGAGGGGCTTTGATTTCTGTGTCTTCATCCTTCCAGTTCAGCTTTAAGAGTGTAGTTAACCCAGCGTACACTACGGCATTGGAACCTTCCTCTGAAGAAATATCTTTAGACTCTGTGCTTTGAATGGATTTGAATGGACAAGACTGTTAACATCCTTGAAATTTTAAGCATGATCAGGGCCTAATTCGGTTGTTCTGATTTTTTTAGGAAAAGCAGATTGATTTAGTGTAACTTGTTTTCAGACCATATGACCACATTGCCGGTCATTCCCTCGGTTTCCATGACTCATTATGTGTGAATCTGATTAGAAAGGAGAGAAGTTGATTACTACACCAGCGGTATACCTGTGAGCCTGCTGAATGCCCCCTGCTTATCTCAGCTCATTAAATGTATATAACAAATAATGCAAATGTCTGAACTTGTATGTGGGCATAACTACAGAAAGTGAGAGAAAACAATCCCTCAATAATATGAAGGTCCATTAGACCGATCTTTCTGTAGTTTATTTTAGTTAAAACTCTGATATTCCAATCTCTTTATATTAGGTACTGAAATCTTGACTGTGCAATATATACTGTTTAAATAATTCTCACATGTTAAAGGGCATCTTCAGAGCTGATATATAGCTTGCCTGCTCCGTGGCACTTCAAATATTGCACTAAAGCGTGTTCTTTTTTGTGTTGCAGAACCTGGGAAGAAGGGAAAGTTCTTATTTTTGATGACTCTTTCGAACATGAAGTATGGCAGGATGCTGAGAATTATCGCCTGATATTCATTGTGGATGTGTGGCACCCTGAGTTAACACCACAAGAGAGACGCACCCTTCCTGCTATTTAAGGGGTTCTGATGTGCGGAGCAGAGGAGCTTTAATCCCTTTGGAGTGTGCAAATAGGATTAATTTATCCAGCATATGAAGAATACAAGTAATGTAAGGGTTAGAAGAGATAAGGACGATATTCTGCAATCACAGAGGACTTGATTTAAAAACAGAAGGAAAAAAAAAAAGCCATGTTTTGTTTCATACTGATACAGCACTGATACATATTGTTTTTGCTGCAAGTTTGAAAATACAAATCTTGTCAGCCAAAGAGCAATAGGTCTGGATTTTCAAACTGAAGAACGTGCAGATGTTTTTGCCATGCCGGTATTACGTGTACAAAACCAGTCAGTCAGTCACCTGCCTGACGATGTTCAGGCACAAGATTTGCAATTCTACATCTGGGAAATACTTCCCTGGCTTTTATCTGGGAAGCAATGTGTAAGATGTTTAGAAACATATGCACACAGCCAACATTGAAAATCAGTATGCGGTTGTAATGTTAGCTGCTTTAGGCATAGAACACATCCTTGTGTTATCAGCTGTAGATAATGTGAATGGGTTATGTGTGGTTTGTATTTTTTTTTACCTGAGTAACTGTATTTTTCTAGCATAATTATGAACAAATCTTCTTTAATCAACCACTATTTTTTAAAAACCAATATATATATAAGTGCATCTCTAGCTATTAGCAGAAAGAAAACACTAAATATTAAGAGATTTCATTTTTGCCAAGTGTGGCCTTCTCTTGCCTTCCTGGAAATGCAAACAGAAACTTGCATAATCAGCTGCTTAGTGAAGCTTTGGTCTTCTAAAACAAAATAGTTTTCTTAGTCAGCAAGCAACCTTCAGTTTGATAATGTGATTGTGGAAGATGTTGAGCAAATGTGACAACAGTAGGTTCACTTCTTAAAGTGCTTGACAGTTGTTAGGATTACATGGTGAACTGCTGTTGCTCTTGTCATTGTGAAAGCTTGTGTTGTGATACCCGTTTTCTACCCAGCAAGAGTCTGGGGCACCTCGTTCCAGGGGCTTCTTCAAGGCTGCTCTTGGGTGGTCATTCAGCAGAAAAAAATAAATGAAGAATTTCTTGTGCTTTGGGCAGAAGGACAAGGTCAAACTTGGTTTCCTGCCAGAATGCAGAGCAGATGAAGAGCTTCAGGTTATTAACTTGTATTAACTCCTGCTGCCAGCATCCTACAGAGTGCTAGAATGCTCCTTTAATTGACCTAATGGTGTTTTCCTTGTCTCGACATATATGACTTAAAGCTGAAGTAGCCTTATCCCAGTGCTGTTTACAGTACGCTCTGTATTCGCCATACAGAATTTACTGTAGGGTAAAAAGGCCTGTTTTCAAGACAGAAAACTGGTGTATTTAAGCAGATCACTGCTCTTTTGGGTCTGTACTGTTTAATGGGAGATGGAGGGCACAGGACCCTCCACTGTTAACTGCTAAGAACACTAACAGGCAAGAGAGGCTGCACGGAGGCTGTTCGTGGCTGGCTGCTACCTGCCCTCCTGCCAGCCCAGCTGGGTGTGGATCGGCACGCTGGGGTGCTCAGGGCGTGTCGAGACCAGCGGCGGCGTTACCCAGGGCTGTGAGAGGCGAACACTAAGCAAGGAGACACTGAGGTTCCGTAACCTCCACAGCTTTGGCTTTGCTGTCCAAAAGACGCTGAACAGTCATGATGCTTGTTTAATGTTCAGTGGCTTTGTACTGCAGAGACCGCGTCGTGGTACCTACGTATCATGACCAGAACGCCATGGTTGCTGAAGCAGAACACAGAAGAGCTTTGCATTCCCACAGACTGAACGCTTTTCAGTTTTTGTATTTTACTAGGTAATTAAATCTTGTAATGCCATGTAACACATGGTGACTGCACCATAAATTAGTGTAACCAGTTTCTGGAGGTGTGCACTTTAATTTCCTTTTTAACTATTGAACTGATAAACCTTCTCTGATCAGGAGTCAGTTTTAGACAGCTGTGATAATTAGGCTTTAATGTATTGTCGGTATCAAAAATAACACTGAGACTGTACACAACATACAAGAAAGCAACAGTTGTCAGTCGTTAATCATCATGAAAACTGAAAAGATTAAGTTTCACGCTTAAGAAAATATAAAAATACTTTTGGAGAGCTTTAGGAAAATCGTGCAAAACTGGAAATAAGGTACTTGTTATTGGGGGGGGTCATAGTAAAAAAGTTTTCTAAATCTCCTGGTAGTTGTTTAGTCAGAGGCTATATTTTGTAACTCTGTAAAGTGATTAAGCAGTACAAATTATAAACTATTTTGTAATTCTGTAAAATAAAGAAATACTTTGTAAAGAAGAAATCAAGAACTGTCAAAACCAAAATTTGTGGTTTAGGAATATTTTTGTTAATGTTGCATTTTAGTTTCTATAGCTCACAGTAAATACTAAAGGAGTGGTAAAAACTTTAGAGCTTTATTTGTAAGAAATGCATGCCGCCCTTCAGATTGTTTCATTGTTCCTCTGAAGGCTCATACTTTACCTTTTCCAGTTGCAACTGGCAAATAGATAAAATTGGGAAATAAATAAAAGTAATCCACCCAAGATGCGTGTGTGCCAGAATAGCGCTGTTTATTAAATTGTGTAGCGACATATTGGCCATCTAAAATCTTAAGTGCCTTGAATGTGTCAAGGTGTTCTTATGAATAGCTCCTCCAACACTGAAGTGAATCTGCTCTGTGCCTCTCTGTCAAGGAGCTAAGAGCATATCTTTTTGTTAGGTATGGTTACTGGATTAGCTATACACATGGGGAGGATTGATAGAGAGCAAACTACAGAAATTATGCGGTGAATAAGCAGTATATTATTTTAGGTATTCCTGTTTGCCAACTGGTATTTCATCCTGAAAAAGCTTTTCAGTGTTGGAAATGCCAATGGAAGAAGTGAATGGAAATGGTTTTTAAATGGAGAACCATTGCAATTTAAATATTTTTTTTTTCTTTAGATTTATTTACAGAAGGGAACGACAGAGCAGGGCGATACAGCCTCCTGTTTGCAAGGCAGTACGTACTTGTCGCAGTGTTAGGAGGTCGGTTCCTTCCTGCCTGTAGTGACCTTGCTTGCAAGCACAGAGTCTGTAGAAGATCCTACAGTTAAACACAGGCACCTATACAGTTATATACAAGGTGTCATATGTATTTGTTCATGTCATGGCTAAAGAAAATAAATAATTCTAATCTGTGAGGTTTAATCCTCAAGGGCTAGATTTCAGTGATATTTGCACTTCTGGGGCAGAGCAAGTCCCGCTGGAATGAACAGTGATAGTCGCAGGTCGTCACAAGGATCCTGTGGCAATGGAGGTAAGTGTATTAACAGAGACAAATTGTAAACCAAAGTATTTCTTCATTAATGCTGCAGTATAATAGCCAATGTCTGTCTTTTTTTTTTTTTTTTTTGTCTGTTTTTTTGGTTTTTTTTTTTTTTTTTACTTTCTGCATTAAGCAAGTTCTCTGTGACAAATCCAAATGCCTGTGAGTCTTCGTGAGCCCAGGGGTGGGAAGGGAGCTGTGTCCCCTTACCAGGAGTTGACATCCTGGTTTTCTGTAATAGGTGGTAATGCCAGGGGAGAGGGGATGGAAGAAATTTCAAAGATAAAATGGGTTCAGTCATCTTAGTTGTTTTTAATGTTCCCGCAAGCTTCTGCTTCTTTTTTCTGACTCCTGTGTTGCCTTGCTGGGACCATCCATGCCTTAAAGACCTGCTCCCTATCATGGAGGCGAGGCTTTGTATCAATGACACGCTGCTGCAGAAGAAGGTCAGCCTGAATGAGGCTGTTCTGTACAAGTACTAGCAGGTAGATCCCAGGTGTGGTTTTGGAGGATCTGGCAGGATGTCCTTTCTGCCCTGTGCAGGCATCAAATGTTGTAGGTGAAGGCAGTATTTTGTTTCTCCATCTGTTAGGGCTGACCGTGTCCAGATAAACTCTATCATCACTTCAGTGTATCACTTATGAATACAGTGGATGTTTCAGAGGGACATTAAAAACTCTCGTGCCCGTTATCATCTCATTTTTTATATATATATATGTATGGTTTACACTGCTACCTTTGATATATTGTTGCCAACCGCTTGTTCTAGTAAATTGTCAATGTCTGGCAATTTAATGAAGACTAAAGGTGTGTACAGTGGTTGTAACCGTTTTAGGAAATAAAGTCACTGCACATGCAATTTGATAACGATTTTTCTTTTATTTCTTTAATCCGGTTTCCATTTCAATGAAGGGATGGGAGTGTCTTTGCTGCTAGAGCAAATAGGGAAATAACAAACTGATCTTTGGCATTTCAGTTCTTCTATTTTTCCACATTTCCTTCTAGCAGAAGCTTGTACTGAATAATTAATTCTAAGTTTTCCTTTTTCATTTTAACCCTGGCCCGCATCTGCAGTCAGCATACCCTTCTGGCTACACCTTTCCCTGACTGCAGGAGGGAAGGGGGTAAATGGCTCTGCAGAGCTTTCATTTCCAGTTGTGACCGAAATGAAACAATCTGGATTGAACCATTAATCACCGGTGAATGTGTCCAATGGGCCTCCCTAGCACCCCCCTTCACACGCACGCACACGTACGCACACACATCTATTAGGGTCCCGAGTTGCCTGTGGAAAAACACATCGTTAAAATTAAATAATTGCATTTCAAATTGTGTGCGTCTGCTGCCCACACAGCTCATTCCGGTAAGCTGACAGCTTTATAAGGGCTTCAAAAGTTAAGGATAATTTTTGCTAGATACTGAAATGTGACCCCCTGTAAGCAGCATGGATGAGGTGGTCACAAAGTGGCATGTTGAATGGCATTATGCTGGCACGGATTTTTTTTTTTTTCCTTAATGCAAAATCCTTCTGTAAAACTTGAGCAATAGATGCTGCTGTTTCTGCCCCCTGAGCCAGACTAAGCTGCTAATTACAGTGCAAAGTTTAAATTTGAGACGCAATTCTTTAAAACACATTTAACCTTTGCTTCTATAAAATCAAGCATCCCTGCTGGAGGCTTCAGGAAAACTTCTGCTGACACACCCTGGCTTCTTTAAACAGAGAATGCAGTCCCACCATTTCCGATATTTTAATGTAGTAAGTCAAAAAAAAAAAAAAAAAAAAAACAAAAGGGAAATAAATTCTTTGTATATGGACAGGCTCCTGCGTCAATAGAAATTTCTCAGTTTTTGTTCAGCGTCGGCCACGCAGACAGATAGCTGGTGACAGTCGTTACTTGCTCAGGAAACATGAAGGACTTGTTCTCAAGCAAAACACGTGCGTGCGCGTGCGTGCGTGTGTGTCGTGTGCTCTGCGGGTGTCTGGAACGGTGGAAGTCTGTTCACGTGTCTGTGTGCGGCGGGCGCGTGGGAGCTCAGCTCAGTCCAGAGCCAGCAGCGGTTGGGTGTTCTCGCTCTCCCCCTGGTCGTCGTGTTTCAGCGTGCCGGCTTCCACCACAGACTGGGACCTGAAAGCAAGAAGACACGCATGCTAGCGAAGGCTGCTGCAGAGGCTCTCGCCTTCCTGGGGTCCATTTGCTTCATTTTATGATTTTTGCTTTTGCCCATTTTCACCTGTATGGCTTTTTATTTCTTTTCTGTGGAACACAGAAGGAATTTCAGAAGCATTCCTCTGAATATCAACAAGGGTGTGACTCACTGCGTGTCTCTAATGCTTTCAAAATATTTAGTGCTTGGCTACTATCCATAATGCTGAACACACTCATCAACTTAAAGGCCTGACCCTGCGATGCCATGAGATCTGTTGGTCCTTAATGTCTTCCTAGGCAAAACGGCTTGTGCAACTGCTTAATGGAATACTTTGCACAGGCAAAGTCACTTGTACAAGTGCTTGCAGGAGTGAGTCTCAGCTCATATTTGTTACAAATCTCGAGAAAGACAAGGAGATAAAATCACATTGTACTGATGAAAGAGTTTAAGGGGCAGAAGTTTCATGAGTTACCCAAGATCAGTGAAGAAGCCAGAATTAATGACAATGAGGGAGCTTCTGGTGTGCCTAGTCCTGCAATTTATGTCCATGTCTACACCTCTGAAGGAGAACTTTGTTCAGGGCTAGTCCATTTTAAATTCATGTCTATCTTCAAGGCGGGAAGCATAGTTTATGCTTTGCTGCTAATGGACAAAAAAACCCCAACACATAAAAAATAAGTAAACACTAGAGAAAGTGGAGCATCGTGATTTCTTCCATTGACAAAAGCTGAATGGACTTAAATGAGTGGGAATATTCAAGAACATTACACTCTCTGAGGTCTCTGTGCTCCAGTGTTTGCTCACTGAGCTATGGAAGGAGGAGCTGATGAGTTTACTAATAGCTACAGAGATGTGTTAGCCTCCATTTTCTCTGGTTTGGGCTAGGAGTTGCCTCCCAGTTTGGAGTGGGCAATGAGCTTTAGAGCAAAATCACTCCGTGAATTGGGAACTTTTAAAAAGGGAACATTTTCAAAGGTAGGGGTAGAATCATCTTAAAGAGCCAGTTTTCTCATGGATAGCTTTTAGAATTAGGGGTAGCTCTCATTCCTTACAGGATGTGTTTGTAGTTGCCAGTTTTCATGATGGTAACCTCCATTCAAGCCTTAGGTATTTCATGAGGTTAGATATCACCTCTCTTTTGATAAAAATCATTAATAAATTGCATCCTTTGGTACTGCAGCACTTGCTCAGGCCTGAATACCATGACTGTAAATAACTTGTATGATTATTTTTCTTCTCCCTGGAGCTTTCATTAAGGCATAATAAAAAATTGTCATTAAAAAAAAATAAATTCCAAAGAGAGATAACAAAAACTGGATGCTCAATGGGAAGATTTTATGCCAAAATTTTCAAAGAAAATATGTTTGCCCAAATGTTTTTGCTGTGTATCTTTTACAGTAATGTGACATGCATAATGTTTATGACTGCGTTTTAATATAGAAAAGCAGCTGATTCAGGAGATTATGCAAAATGACAATTTACATAATTCGAGTATGTGACAGCAAAAACTAATCATGTGGCTTTGAAAGTGATACAGAACGGAGTCAAATTGCAACATCAACAGGTTTTTATTTTCTTTTCTGGACTACCAGATTCAATTATTATTGAATAGTACCTGACTAATACTTGTCACCAATGCAATGTTTATCTGACCCGCTACAATGACTGTAGGAAGTCGCAGATCCATTGCAGCCTTTGCCAGCGTACAACGGGGAGTTGCTGCTCTGAGTCAAATGTGAAAAATCTCGCAATTTTGCCTTTTGTGATTGCTGCTGATTATCTCTGCTCTCAACTCATTACAGAAAAAGAAAATTCTTGCATCTCGAACAGCAAGATACCAGTTTCTCCCCCATGCTGGTACTCGGATGCATGCCAGGTTGGGAGCAACATAATCCCAAACTCTGTAGGCAGGTCCCACACTGCTCCTCTTCACGCAGGGCCAAAATAGCTGGAGCATCGAGTAAATGCATTGCGGCCCACCTGACCTCCAAACTCAAGATGCCAAATGATTCAAATGCTATGCCTAGCTCTTCTGAATAACATGAAGAGGGATCCAGCTGAGATTTTAGTATCTGCCAGGCTCTGCAGCAACAATCTCTTTTCCTTTTCTGCTAGAAGCTGCTTAGCCCCCTATCCTAAAATAAGCAGTTCAGACATTTATCTGAAGGGCACAGTAGTGATTTGAACAATCGTTGCTGTTTTCCAAGATACCACAATAAAGGACTTGTTGTGTTTGGATTTCCATTTTCCAAATGCATCATTTTTTCGTTTGCTGAAAAATGTTTCCGGTTTTGTTTTTAACTTAAATTTTATGTTCAATATTCTTCATTTATGGTAAATACTTAAAATGTAGGTGCTCAGAAAAGCATTTTGGCGATATATATATCAATGCAGCTTGCAATCTAATGTAATAAATCAGCGTGAGAGAGATGTTTCACTGGCCTAGAACATCCTGGAATATTCTACAGCTATACATTATGTAGTGCCAGAGAAAAGATGATTTGCAATAGGCCACCATTGCAAAAAGCATTTTAAACTGAACAGTAACTATATTTTGCAGCTATAGAAATTAATATAAGACAAATGCGATTTGAAAGCATGCACCCTATATGTCGGTTTCATCTTGCTTTTGTATATCTTGCACACATTCAGTTCAAGGAAAGTGGTTGCATTCTAGGTACGTGCAAGTTTACACAAAATTTAGGGGGGTTTGTACACTGACTCTAGTATTGAACCTAGGACTAAGACTAGTTTCTTTTTTAAAATTACTGCTACCTGTTTTAGCTACATTAACATTTTCTTCAGAGGACTTTACAATCACGTTTCAAATTTTTAAGTAGGATCTGATCATGGTTCTTGAAAGGTGTTTGGATATGTAACTCCACCTTAATCTACTAATGAAAAATAAATTGAGGCAGACACCAGAATACCTTTGCTCTAACTTGTCCTTGTAATTTGCAACCGTCTTTGCATTAAAAACACCAAAACACCCTCTTGCACAGCAGTTTAAACTATTTTGATGTAAAACACGAAATGAGCAGCACAGAGCTTTCCTTGTTCAGCAAGCTGAGTTTAAGCTTTGGCCCTGTAAATGCTATGGACACTGTTCTGCCAGTACGCTGTGGCAAGCAGAAGTTCATGGCACCAGCAAAAGCATTTTTATTTTGCTGCCTCTGTATATCAATGTGTACAAATACTTGATGGGGTGGAGTAGAGAACATGAAGCCAGACTGTTCTCAGTGACAGGAGAAGAGGTAATGAGCACAAATTGAAATACAGGAACTTCCATTTTAACATAAGAACAAATGTTTTTACTGGGGGAATGGACAAACGCTGGAACAAGTTGCCCAGAGAGGTTGTGGAGTCTTCATGCTCAGAGATATTCAAAATCTATCTTGGTAGTCCTAGGCAACCTGCTCTAGCTGACCCTGCTCTAAGCAGGGGGTTGGGAGATCTCCAGAGGTCCCTTCCTCAAACTTTTTTGTGATTCTGTGCCCGCAGAAATACCAGCTTCTCTGAACGATGTTTCTCTATCCTGTCAGGCCAATGATTTTCTTTCCAAGCTCATAATGCCTTTCAGGTGTCAACTTTGACAGTGTAGATGACATTCAGCTGCTAAATGTAGATACCTGCTGCCACTTGGGGCACCTTAGGGTACCCAGACAACCTTCCATGGCTGACTGTTATGACCCAGGATTTATAGAAGACTTATAGAGGACTCGTGTCCTTCTGGAGCAACAGATGGAGGCCAAGAGGGTATCACAGGGCCTAAGATCATACGAGATGCCTATATTTAGGCAGCAGAGCCTCACCTGTGCTATTGTTTCTTCAGGATGAATGCAACTAGTTTGTAATGTTCAAGACACATCAAAGTTGTTTTGACCTGGGCCAGATATGAACTAGTCATCTAAGCAGGAAATAGTAATTGCGTTGGCCTTCTCCTCATATCACTGCATCTTAGTCACTGGTGCTATGATTCATCTCACCCACCATCAGACTTCTGTGGTCACTCTGTGCTATAAATGGCAGAGAGAAATAGTCATTCTCAGGGTGCAATTCAACTGTGCAATTCAACTCACCTGTTCTAAACATATGATTCATGGGTCACCTGCATTCAGGTCCCTGTTCTGATGAGCTCTCATCTGTTAATACCAGGGGGAACAGGTTCCATGATTTAGGAGGCAATGTTTCCTACATATCATATCCATGACTGCCTCACTGTGTTACCTTCAATACTCACCTGCAACGTGGCACATGCCCTGCGTGTGCTGCAACTTCGGAATTATAATTGAGTATATTTGAATTCAAAGCCTTCTGGATTTCTTCTTTTCTCAGCTAAATATTTTCAGTAACCATTTTGGAAGATGCTTGGATGTGGAGGAATCTGGTTGAGTTAAATTTTAAACACAACTAAACAATTGTTTGTATCACGCAGATAAGATCACTGGATAAGGCCCTGAGCTGGCAGACCCCATGCCTGTCTTTCTTTAACATGATACGTGTGGGAGACTTAGCTCCTATAGAAGTACAGCATGATCACCGTGGGCTGGGAACTAAGTCTGAAGTAATTAACAGCCAAGTCAATGCCCATAGACTTTCCTAGCCTAGTTTCCAAGGCTATATAACCTTGCTTAGGAGAGCAAAATGAAAATGGAAAGAGAAGCGAATTCACAGTCTCACTTCTGAAGCCTAGGTACGATTAGGGTGTGCTCCATTTAAAGCATCAATCAAACCCCCCATGGTTGTTTTACTGTTCAGCAAGAATATTTGGAAGTCTGGAAAGTCAACACTCTCCAGCTGTTTTTCCAGCAGGTCAGCCACATATTTCAAATGACAGCAGTGCATAGGTATGTACATCAATATCTAAGAGAGCAGATGGCTTTATGTGTGTGTGGTCGTTTTAATGCAACTGTCTCAAATACAGTCAAAAACCATGCAAGAAGACTGGATGCAGGCCTTTGAGCTGCACTGATTTCAG